AAATCAGCAAGGACAAATGCTGAGTCCTGCACCTGGGAAGGAAGAGCCCCTGGCAACGAGACAGGCTGGGCACTGACAGCCTGGGGAGCAGCTCTCTGGAAAGGACCTGGGCATCCTGATGGAGAGCAAGCTGCGCATGAGCTGGCAGCGTGCTCTGGCAGCGAAGGAGGCCAGCAGCATCCTGGGCTTTGTGAACAGGAGCGTGATGTATGAACAGCAGCAGATGAGGGAAGTTTTTATCCCCTACTACTCAGCAGACCACATCTAAAATACTGCAGTTTCGCCCCTCACCAGTACAAGACAGACAGCTGTAAATTGGAGCAGGTTTAGGAGCGGGACACCAGGATGCTCAGGGGCCTGCAGAACTTGACCTGTGAGGAGGGGCTGAGGGAATGGCTTGTTCAGCCAGGGGAAGGGTAGGCTTTGGGGAGGATCTCCAGGCAGTCTTACCATACCTATTAGGAGACCACCAAGAAGACAGACCAGCTGTTCACAGTGGTGCATGGCAGGAGGATGAACAATAATGGGTATGAGAGTGTTAGACTGCAAGTAAGAAAAACGCTTTCACTGTCAGGACAGTCAGGTGCCTACAGAGGCTATGCAATATCCATAATACATAATATTCACTATGATGAGCTGTAAATTAGCTATTGCCACTTAAGAAAAAGAGATCTGGGTAATACTGTGATTAGTTTTCTAAAAACATTCAAAGCACAGCCATAGTCAAAAGACAAGCAGGAATTACCACGATTGTAACAAAATGGAAAACATTATGTCATTGTCTAGATTTATGGTGATCCCACATGTACAACTTTGCATATAATTTTAGATCACATCATCTCAACGAAGGATAAAGCAGGATGAAGCATAATGTGGAAAGAATGATCTGAAGTATGGAAGCTTTTCCATACAAAGGATATTTACAAGTTTTTTGTTTGGAAAGGATATTACAGAAGACAAATACAAGAGATCTGTAAAATTATGAATGGCATAAAAATGTTTTAGGAAAGATTGTTCACTGCATCTCAGAGGCATTCTTGCATTAGCAATTTTATCAGCCATAATAGGTAGAGCAAAACATTTGGTGCTGAGGGCCAGATGTCCACATTTACATTTTAGGCAACAGGGACAACTTACTTCCAATCTCAAGGGCTGAATGCACGTTTATGGTTGAAGCGTATTACTGGAACACATCAGAGCTCTTAGAGTTCATCTTCTGGTTTGTTTTCACCTGAAAGGAAATCAATTTATTTGCTCTAAGACTATTCCACCAAGGGACACAAAGCACAGTAAGTGGAGGCAATATGAGATTTGTTTCAAAAGTATGCACAGACACGTGTAAGGAAAAAAAACCCTATCAATGCTGTTTTAACATACTGTTCTGAGCACAGCTTCCAAAACACTGGGGTCCTAAGCTGCTGTTTGCTGCAAGGGCGCATATGGAAAGGTGTGAGTCTGTACTTGCCTTTTTTCTTAGAATCTTTCAGTAGCTCTGTCTATCTGCTGCAGCTCATAATCAGAAAGAAGATACTGAGTCAAAATGACCTTGGTACATCTGATTACCTAAGAACACTTGTTCTTAGGTAATTTCATTTTACGTGAGCACTTACAATGTAAATGGTTGTAATGGCTTGCATGTTATTCATTTGGGCACATTTTTAGAGTAAAATTTTCCATCTCATGTCTTATATACTTTAGTCATAGCAAATGAGGTCAGTCAATTTATAAAATAGGGAGAATATTTTAAATTCTTTGTAGTCTTAGTTTAAGCATTGCTTGTACCTCAGCAGGAGGTTGCAAAAACTTTGGCAGGGACACATGCAACAGATGTGCCTAGTGATGCTCTGGTGAAATCCTTTTTGATTTGCACACTTTGGTGGCTATAAAAGTGTGATTTGCACACAACATTGTTTTTGTTATCTAGTAACAGGTTTCCACTAGCAGTCCGACAGACTCCACTGGCACTGTGCATGCATATTCATGTGATTTGAGCAACACAGACACGCACAAAAAAGTTAAGTAAAATATATGCTTTAACAGATACATGCCTGTGTGGAAATTATTTAGGGACTGTATTATCAAATAAGATAGGGTTTCTAAAAAAAGGAGTAAATACATTAGAAGTGATTTGAAGCTCCCTCAGCTCTTTTGTTTCATAATTCAAACCCCTACTCCATGTTGCTGTACAGTTTTTGAGGAACTCTACAGTTTTTATCTGCAGATGGCTAGAATCAGACGTAGAGACATGACTTTATTCACTCTAGCTGGAGAGACAGACAGCTGAAGGTATTTGTCATGTCAGAATTTATTAAAGACAGTAGTCATAGAATGGGTCATAGAGTCTGGAGTAACCTTTGTGCATGATCATTCAGGGTTTCTGAATCTGCTCCTTGGTTTCAGTACTGTACACAAGTTTATTTAGTAAGACACTTCAGGGAAAAGACAGTTATCTGTCTTTGTTAAACTCTGTTAAGTCCTAGAATTCTTTTTACATTATAGCTGTACAATTGACATTTTCGGCTGAAGCTTAGTCAATTTACAGGTGGTAAAAAAGAGACTATTTCAGCAATGGAATTGAAATCTATTCCACATAACTGACTGTCAACTTTCAGTAGCTTTACTTACACTCAGGGAAGCCACAGGGATTGCACATGGTGTATAGTAAGCAGTTCCTGATTGTATACATACCTTTAATACAGCACCAACAATTTTTCTGTGGCTTTCTATAGGAAGAGCAATTAGGGAATAGCCAATTTCATATACTGAAACTGCTGTTCTTGAATGTGGAATGATTACATTACAAAGTCTAATCTGTGATAAATTCAATGCAGGTTTGCGTAAGGTGTGTTACACAGACAAACAAATCAAGGATAATATTTGTCCAAATCCTATAGAAGGCAAGGACTACCAAGTCAAAACTGCTGCAGATACATGTTTGCATAATTATCTGATTATCCTTGTTGATCCAAAAGCAGCCTCTAGCATATATATATTTACTTTAAGCATAGAAATAAATAAAAAGCAGGCACGGGTAGCAGTCTTGATTAAGACCCTCCAGAAGAGATAATACACTAAAATTGATGTGTAAAGGCAAAGTGAATGATACAGCATTAATGATAAAATTTAATGCCATTTGCAAATTAAATTTAAAATGTAGAACATAACATAAATCTAAGTATCTATTTCACAATAATGTTTTAAAAGCATTAGAAAAGAAATTAAGAAAAATACAGGTTTGAAATGAGGTACGTTTTTAAAAGAGCATTTTTCAAATAAATTACATCTGGGTGGACAGATATTTAAAGAAGACTAACATTTTTCAGAATTTTGGTACTGAATTACTAAAGTTATTTTTCAGTAATCAAAGATAGTGTTTTAAATTAACATAATTTTAAATTAACGTAGTTGAAAGCATAACATAAATAACAAGGAGGTCCGTATCATACTTTAAATAGATCTGCAGCATCTTTAAGCAGACATTTAGCTCAGGTACTTGCATAATTTTTTGTGGTATTATAATCTAAAACTCTTTAAAACTAAATCCCTGGAAGTATGCTAGAGTCAGTATAGCATACTTAGCTCTGGGACAAATCTTAGCCCACTTGGAGTCACTGAAAACCATCATGAAACATCATCACTCTCTTGACTAGCATGAAGATTTCATGTATAGCCTCCAAAATAAGATAAATAACGTTAGAGAGATTCTGATGTATACAGATCTAGAAACTTAGTATCTCTACGTAACAAACTGATCCAAACTGTCATTCAAAATAAAAAATAAAAATAAAGGTAATAATATCATGATGTCTAACTATGAGCGATTCTCCAAACGAAGAATTTCTGTATCTTAGTAGTCTAGTCAAATTTCTAAATAAAGCAGTCATTAAACAAATACAGGAGGACCAGTTTATCTATGTAATTTGGAGTTAAAGGGTCTGTGATGAACTATCTTAAAAAGGATGCCGAAGAGAGAAAATACTTTTCTTTTTCATGGACACAATTTTGCTATAAAAGTTCTGGGCAAAATATTAATTCAGAAAAAAAAAAAATACAAAGAAACAGTCAATATCCACCACTGAAAAGGAAAAATATTGAAATTCCAGCAAAGTTCTTTGTTAGGACACTTTTTAAAAATATTCTTCACAGTTATCTTGAATAAAGTCTGAGAGTGTTAAAATTAATGGCATGTGAAGACCAGTTATACACAATTACTTATATTAGTCAAAAACACAAGACTGAGGAACTTCAAGGAGGCTTAATTAAGCAGGACTAGAAGGCAGCATGGTAGTAGATTAAAAGTGAGGAACGCACGCTGAGGCTCACTGGTGTGCAGTGGTGCACACTGAAGGGGACACTTCATGTCCACCTTGAGACTCGAAAAGCCATGATGTCAGTGCAGAGTAGAAGAGTCTGGGCAGCTCAGCAAAGACTTGCTTTCCAAAATCATAAAGACTGAGAGATACCTGAAAACAGAACAAAAATCCATTCCCTCCTTGACCTTCATCAGAATGGGACAGATCTTCTGCCTTTGCAGCGTAGCTCCCAGCCTCTTCCCTGTGCCACAACCTGCTGTCTAGCACAGCCACACAGACTCTTCTCCAACCTCGTGTCCTGATGGATCCACTTGGAGTCACTGGATTTTTTACTTCCACTTGAAAGGTTGTCTTTACATCTGCCTATATATTTTTAAGGTATTATCAGCATACACACAGTAGTTTAAATATTGAATTGTAATCTGGTATGTATCATATAGAGACATAATGTTAAAGCAAGCAATTTATTTAGAAGAATGTTTTGAAAAACAATGATCAAATACTAGAAATAGGAATTCAGATATATTTGTAGTGTTTTACTATGCGTGTACACATATGGATGTGTCTCAATTACTGAAGAATTCATATGAGTAGACTTAGGGAATCCAGAGATTAATTACTCAAGAGATTAATGACAGTCTGTGGAGCCTTTCGCTTCAAACTCAGTGGAAGAGGGCACCAAAAGAGAAGTGTTCATAGGTCTGGGTAACGTAGCAGATCCCATTACTTTAGTAGAGAGTGCCAAATCCAAACAAACAAATGTATTCTTTTCCAGACACAGAAGACAAACTTCCTTTTAAATCTTTCAAAACAAAGCCCACAGAGAGCTTCTTGTCAAACCAAGTGAGGAAATCTATCAGTGAGGTGTGAGATTTCCTGCTTCCATTTGTCCTGTAAATAACTGGGGGAAGGAGGGTTAATTTTTTTTTTTTCTTTTTCTCAGTCTGGTTGCTTTTACAAAGAGTTTTATCTCCTACTCTGTTTTTTCAGCAGGTTTTCAAAGAAGACGCTCAGATATTGTAACAAGGAGGCATTTCCCACATGCTGCTCACAGGATGGACTACATGGACTTTGAGGATGATAGCCGTGGATGGCGGTTTGATATGGACATGGTGATAATCTACATTTATTCAGTCAACTGGGTAATAGGATTTATTGTGTTCTGCTTTCTTTGTTATTTCTTTTTCCCTTTTTAGTCTGTAGTAATCAAAGTTAAGGAAAACAGCAGTCATGTGGACTACAATAATGTGAAGAGAAAAAGCATGCAGGCAAAAAGTTTGTTTGATATTGCGTTTTTATCATTCAGAATTTTAATAGACTGCACCAAGCATGCTGTGAGGCTATTTGATACTTCTGCTGTGTGTGACAAAGTACTTTAGTTTGGTTCCGAATATAATGTGAAATCCAGATCATACTTCATTCAATGGGAGTTTTGCCTTGATTTTAGTGGAAACAGGATTTACCCCTAATGTATAAAAATAATTACTCTGTAGAAATATAGAATGCTGCTTGTTCTTAGGGGAGTTCTGTGTACTACAACAGAATATGATCCATAGAGTCATTTTGGAGTTCAACTCTGCATTTGCACACTTTGCTCACTCATTGGTGCTTCAATTCCTCATACATAAAAGCAATAAAGATGCTTCCCATTTATAGTCAGATCTTTTGGGAACAGGAGATTATAAGCACTGCAGTGCTGCACCATGCATTATACAGACATTCATCACTGCTATTTCAATGGTATAATCCAAATCCTGGAAAATTTTGACAATTGATCGACCTGTCAGCATTCAGCTGGAAATGTGCTGTACTCAGTGCCTGAAATTGTGAGCCTATTAACCAAAAAGAGAAACGATACTGCACAGCATCCTCACAATTCATCTTTTCAGCAAATGGCAATCAGAAGGAATCAACTAACAACCCCAAGTTCTGCACATTAAAGGGACCGTTTTTGTGCAGATTCCCTGAGTAGCACTGTACCTTTTTTTACCCATCCAGATGAGCGTGTTTCTATCCAGCAAGACGGCTAATGGAAGGCAAGCAGCAGGCCTGCTGGCTATGATGCCATGAGATACTAACCCCAGTAAATATTGGAGAAAGAAGCATTCTCCAGTGTAAGAAATCAGCACCATTATTAAATTGCTGTAACAATACTCTTGAGTGTGGGCTCACCAGGACTATGTGTCTCCAAGAAGATCACATAAAAGGACACAGTGTTTATTTGCACCTTTCATGTGAAACAATTCTAAAGCACTTTATAGTAATTCTATATATAGATAGCTGAGTTACAGTATCAAACTGCAGCTAGTTCAGCAATCATTCCATACTTGCTGCTTTACGCAGTATTTTCAAATGAAAGAGCATCTATTAAATTATAAAAAGGATATTAGAAGCTATTGTGGGAGTCAGGTGCTGAAGAATGGTACAACATAGTTCAGGGGCTTACTTTTCAGGAAGGTGCAAGGAAGTTTTTATTTCTAAGGGCATGACCCTGCAAAGTATCCTGTGGTTTCATCTAGTAAAGCATGTGAGTATATGTATGTAGTCCCTCTGGTATCAGGATTTGTGTGGGAGACCTGTGTTTTTTCAGTAGGTGGTGTACTCCCCTGTTCTAGCAGAGAACAAGGAGAAATGTGTTGTGGAAGGTGCCATCTGCCAAATGTGATGGAATGGAATGGAATGAATTCGGGGGTTTTATTAAGCCTATGCTTATGCTTCTTTACTGGAGCAGGGCCAGCATGGTCAGTCTCCTATAGGCTATAAAATGATCAGGACCAGATACTTTCACTTAACCTGAATAACAGCAGTAAACCAGCTACTAATATTTAGTTTTCTTACAGGCTGCATAAAATAATCTCTCTGAGAATATATATGTGGAATTTAAAATTACAAGTCTAACTACACTGATTGGACTAAATAACTTTTGCCATTTTTTTTTAATATATGCAAATTTAAGGAGATATAATAATTTAAATTCACCATCACCATGTAGTCATGGTTGTGACAGAAATGCATTTTCTGTAATTACAGTATATCTAGTTACTTTGTCTCTACCTAAAGGTGCTGTGCTCTATTACTGGTGGCATTAGGCGTAATGTTTTAAAAGCTTTAAGGCTGTAGCAAAGCACTTGGTGAATTTCTGCCTTTATACAAACAAATCTTTTAAAAGCTAGGGGGTTTAGGTCATAGGCTTATGTTTTGCTACATTCTGATGTGTAGTTGTGTGTGCTCAAGTATTAGCAATAATTTTAAACATTTTTCTCATCTATGCCAGGACTGGGATTCTAACTGCAATTTTTGTTTGTCTCTCTAATCTTATGGATTTATGGCTTCTATCTCAGCAAAGAGAGGGACTGATTCACCTGTTAAGCCAAAATTGCTTCTACCTTTTGATCTCAGAAAAATACTAAAATAAAAAGATGGCATGAAAAATTACTTTAAATTAGCTGACATAGTCTGAAATTCCAGTAATAATGTAATTTAAAATTATGTAACCAGGATATCTGATAAAGCAATATCCTTAAGTAAATATTCCAAAATATATTGAGACATAAGAAACACAATATAGGTACTAACTAATTATGTAAGAAAGAGTTACTTACATAATTTTTAATAGCATGTTACCATGGTTTTATTCTGAAAAAGGCAACAAAGGAGAGTAAAAAATCCAATGTAATATTGGCTCCTTTTGTACATTTACAGCAACAATTGATGAATGAGAGTGACTGCATTTTCCTAAATTTAGTAGGAGTGTCAATTTTGTATGGCATTTCTAACTGTGGAACTCTACCTTTCTTCAAGGCCTAAACAATAAACTGTTTATCAGGCTATATTGTTTTACTTTATATTGGTTGTTGTTAATTCCAGGGGACAATTAATTTTAAAAGATTACAAATGTACATAATGAAGACTATTGCAACTCTAAGAGATATCCTCTATAGGAAAACACCTAAAAGGCATAGAGTGGAGGTACTTTTTTTGTCCTTCATTGCTTTTTTTTTTTTTGAGATATATACTTTTGTAAAAGGGCAGTAACAATTCAAAGGCTCAGATTTGTTTTTCCTTGAAGTCTGCCTGTAAAATGCTGTCAATATCTGTGGGAGCAAGAGCAGTTCCTTTGTAAGCAATTTTCTGGTTAAATTGATCCTGCTCTGTGAGCTTGTCTTTCTTATCTAAAGTAATATTAAAATGTTTGCAACAAAATTTGAGTTGTTTGTAATATTTTGCAGTCATTTCACTAGATTTTGCTTGGTGGAATTAAATTTTAATTTTTTTTTTTAATCAATGTCTTGTTTGTTATCCTGTCTATTCTGTTTCTGCTTGTGCTGCAACGAGGGTTTGTTGAATTTTTTACTGCTGTGATTAACTCTCTTCGTACTAGCAGCCTTTTATTTTTTTCAGTATTTTCCAGGAAACAGTCAGCTTCTTTCAGAAATAATTTTGGGGGGAGGTGTGGATCTTAACATGTTCTGATAATGAAGAATACTCAGTGCTGGTGCTGTTAGTCCAGACAGATTAACTGTTGACGGCAGCGAAGTCCAGGACAAGACTAAGTTTGGCTTTGACAGGCAAAGGGACTTTGTGCACACTCAGAAGTGTTCGAGTCTCTTGCCTAGCAGTGGGTATGTTTGTAACTCTCCTACCTGCCAAAGGTCTAGTCATTTAAAAAAAAATCAAAAAACTATCTAAAAAAACAATTCCCAAGCAATAGCTGCACAGGAAGTAGCCACTGTGAAGCACAACAGATTCTTTCAGAGCTGTATACCTGCTCAGAGAAGCTGAGACCTAAGTTAAGCCTTTACCAGTAACACTACACACACACCTGAAATATTTACCATATGTCAACAACAGCATTACCACAGTTGCTGATAGGAAAGGATGATGAAGAAACAGAGTGTAGGTTTATTTTGTCATTTTTAGAGAACAATAGTGCTGATAACATGTACCTCTAGGAAGAGGAGTAGCTGTTGTAGCTATCATGTGACAAGTAACTGTCTTGGAGGCGTGTAGTGTTACTTTTGTGGATGTGTTTTCAGCATCTTTTGTCCTTGCAAACCCGACCACTTCATAACTGTGGGATGCACAGTTCCCTCAAATTCCATGTCTGTACAAGGAAAGTCACAGGCAGACAGAAGAAATGAAGGTAGGACATCGAAAGCATTCTGCTGGTGTTCAGCCTCACACCCAGGCAGATGCTGAGAGGAAGGAGGCAAGATATGCTGTGGAATGCTCTGAGCTAGCTGTGGAGCAAGACAAGCAGCTCTCCTTAGAGATAGTCTTTATTTAGCAGAAGTGCTAAGACAGACAGGTAATAGCAGACAGTGAGGTGGATTTAAAGCTGGCTGAACAGCCAAGCTCAGAGGGTTGTGAATGGTGGCACAATGTCTACCTGGAGGCGCGTAACTAGTGGTGTACCCCAGGGGTCAAAACGGGGTCTTGTGCTGTTCATCATCTTCATTCATGATCTGGATGATGGGGGAAAGCATACCCTCAGCAAGTTGCAGAGGACAAAACTGGGAGGAGTGCCTGATACACCAGCAGGTTGTGCCGCCATCCAGTGGGACCTCAGCAGGCTGGAGAAATGGAATGAAAGGAACCTCATGCAGTTCAACAAGGAGAAGTGCGAAGTCTTGCACCTGGCAACAGCCTCATGCCCTGATTTATGCTGGAGGTCACACAGCTAGAAAGCAGCTCAGCAGAAAAGAACCTGGGGGGCCTATGAACCAGCAGTGCACCCTTTTGTCACGGCTAATGGTATCCTGGGCTGCATTAAGTGAAGTGTCGCCAGCAGGTTGAGGGATGCTATCCTTCCCCTCTGCTCAGCACTGGTGAGGCCACATCTGGAACGCTGCGCCCAGTTCTGGGCTCCCCTCTACAACAGAAATACAGAGCTAATAGAGAGTGTCCAGCGAAGGACCACTGAAATGATTAAGGCACTGGAACATCTCTTGTATGAGTGAGTCTGGGGAGTCATCACACAAGACTGAGCAGGGCAAATAAACCAGAAAGTTCTGAATAGGACACCATGGTTTCCCTTAATAGCACAAGGCAGTACAATGCTGGAAGAACCTGGCCCACATTTATGTCCATTTCTGTTCTTTTCTATACATATCTCTAATTCTCTGGCTGGAACAATTCATTATAATTTTTTTTTCTCTCACTGATATCTTGACTCAATACAACCAATCTCTCTTTG